AGTACAAATGTGGCTCATACAAGATTGCTGCCGATGAACCAGACTTTTTGACTTTTGTCAAATTTCCTTTTTTCTGCAACATTCGCATTCCGCACATGCTTGACTTTGCGCTTCACTTCCTCAATATCCCTTGTAAACTCGTTGGAAATCTGAACCCACGCGCTTCTTTTTAACACCCTTATTCTGGAACCCGCATTTTCGTAATTCGTAATTCGTAGCTACGTTACGAAAAACGAAAAATCGATATGCTGCAACCCTTGCGAAAAATGTGCAGCATTGCCAGCCAGTTGTATGAAGGAAAACAAAGTGGAAAAGAATTACAAAAACAATCATCATGTGCTTGTTTATAGTAAAATTGGTTGATTTTACATATTTTGAGGAAAATTATGGATTATTTTGCATTTGCAATTATAGCAGCGGAGGACGAGCGCGCTGTGGCAATGGATTTACAAAGGTATGCGGAGCTGTCGGGCATGGTAACCATGAACGCTTCTAAGTCAGCTTCTGGTTGAATTGTTGAGCCACAAGCTATAATTCCTAATATGCCTGAAGAACTGGTTCTCCATCCAGTTAATGCAATAACAGCTTCTTCCGAGCCATTGAAAATATGCATTTTGTTAGTTCCATCACCTGGTTGCGCTTGCTTCTGCCTTCGGCCGCGCTTAGGGATTATAAGCTTTACTTATGGGAATTTTCTTTTCTGTGTTGCCGGAGAAGAGGGCGAAAGCCCCTCTTCTACTATGAAAGGTATACAACATTTATTGTGCATATTACTCCGGCTACGCCATCCACAGTATCTTTGCGCAGAACCCACATCGAAATTTACAAAAACAGTGCGTAGTTCAAACCGAATTTGTTGATAAACTAAAGCTCAGAAATTTGGAACCTTTGTTTTAAATGAATGTTTAATCCTTTGACAATACGTGCTTTTTAAAGTTTTTAGATTCGGGTAATGCGTTTGGATACAACAATCCAAAATCATTGTACAAATAAATAAACCGTACCGAAGTTTCTCGATAAGGGGCAACAAACATTCTTTTTTTTCGTTCATATAAAGAAGTGGATAAAAATATACGTATGTATATGCGAAAGGCAAATTTATCTGTTTAAAGAACACCACTAATATTTCCTGCAAACACACATCGATTTACATCTTTTTGCTTATTTTTATCTCAATTCCGACACAGAATTGTTTTCGTACAAAATTACGCAAAAAAGCTGTCAATTCTTACTCGTTCATTTTTAAGCATGTCATGTTACGAATTTCGAAAGTTCGAAGATACGATTCGGATTGCAGCATACCACTTCTACGATTCGTAGCAAAATCCGAATATGAAAGTGTTGCAGAATAGGGGTATAAGTCTATACGTTTATATTGTGCACTTTTATAATTCCAAAGGCACTCAAATTTCTTATAAAAGTTTATCAATTTAATGGTATCGAAGACTTCGGATGCACCTCCTGTATTCTATAATATACTTCCTATACATACATATGGGTGTTTCCTTGAAAATGTCAACCAGGACTGAAAAAATAAAAACAACTGAAAAGGGTTTTTAAGACGAATTAATAAGAGAAAAATACTCGAATTTTTATATTATAGAAGTATTTCAGCTTATTGGAATTTTAAAACTCAAAAATGGAAGAGTAAAACTGAATGTCTCTTCGACTCAGTTTTCTCTAATGAAATGCCTATTTTCTCTTTCCTATTAACTAAATTGAGAGATTTGAAACATTACAATTACATCTTAAAATCAAATTTGCAATAACAACTAACTATAAAAATGAGAAAAGGGAGAAGTTAGAGCTCGAATAACTGTAATTTTTTGATTTGCTTCTGATAGTATTCTAATGTCGCGTACGTTATGCAAAAACATTGTTTGTCTATGTCATTTGTATATTGGCAGTCGCAGGTAATGCAGATTACAATTCTTAAGCTAGAATTCTTCTAGTTAAAGATATACAGTAAAATTTTCTTTCCAACCGAAGTAAAAATATATTTTATTACCCTTTAAAATTTGTCGCATACGTTATTGTAAGTACGAAAATTTCAATCAAATACATCAAAACCAATGTTAATTGCAAATTTTCCATTTAAATTATTTAGAATAGTTGTAAAACAATGAAACGGTGGCGAGAAGAGTTCTCAATAAATACATTATATTACTTACGAGAAAAATTGTCGCGTACGTTATGTCGCGTACGTTATTGTTATTTTTTTTTAATATAAAACTAGCCAGAGATAATTTCTCTTAAAATATCAAAGGATTGTAAAGGTACATTATTTAGCTTAGTTTAGCAATTTTTAAAGCAAGCAAATGAATTCAAACGGCTTTATAACTTTAAATTTCGCATTCAGATGGCGGAAAAAGGTTTCGAAAACGCGAAACGGTGAAGAGAAGAACTGAAAAAATTTAATTTAGTATGTGTTACTAGTAAAAATATTGTATGGGGGAAAAATCTGTCGCGTACGTTATGTCGCGTACGTTATTATAATTTTTTTTAATAAAAACTAACCAGAGATAATTTCTATCAAAAAATGGAAGGATTGTAAAGGTACATTATTTAGCTTAGTTTAGGAATTTTTAAAGAAAAGAAAAACTATCATGATTCGCAGACTTTCGCATATATGTATATGTGCCTTAAAACCACTTCTTTTTTTGTCGCGTACGTTATAACCTGGTTTTGAACGGATATTTTCCACACCAAAGTTTCGAGGCTGCTTATTTTTTTCTCAAACATAGTACCCTTTGGTTGCAACATAACCGTAATCTTTTT